TAAAGTTATTATGTCATCAAATGAGTAATCTAACGACAACTTAATAAGAATATGAAATACCTTTAATGCATTTTTCAAATAAATGTCTTCCAACTTGTGTGTCAACAGCTGATAGAGGATCGTCCAATAAATAAATATCAGCTTGTTTATATACAGCTCTAGAACCATCAAAATCATAAAATATTATTGAAACATAATCATAWAAATCTAGTGTTTTACKTGCCTTGCTAGATTTACTCTCGCTCGTTGACCACCACTAAGAGAAACTCCTCTTTCTCCTACTAAAGATCTGTYACCATAAGGAAGTTGTTTAAAATCAGTGTTCAATGCGCACACTTTTATAACCTAATACATAACTCACGTGAARTTTCTACKTATGAATACAAACAAATTATTTTATTTTTTAATTATTGTACTTGKTTGTAACGATTATGATCCATTGGCGAACCAAAAAGTATATTTTGTTGAATTGAACCGTTAAACAACCATGGTTCTTGAGATGCGTATGAAACGGTGCCACGCACTGAAATACTTCCATYGCAAAGTGGTAATTCTCTTAAAATTGACTGAATCAATGAACTCTGTATAAAAAATCATTTTTTATTATATTATTTTATTTACCATATAGCCAATTTATACTTTTCCAGCTCCTACGGGCCCGATGATTGCAACCAACCGCCCCGGTCTAACGGTTAAATTAATGTTATTTAATGAGTTATCGGGTTGATTGAGTACCCATTTAGCYGAGGCGTTTGAAACGACGATTCCAAAATTACCCAATCGGTCCATATCTTCTTGATTTCCAGTTGTATTTGCTGTATAATTTTCGCTATTTATGTTTGACATTTCTACGCCATTTGTCCATTTTTTATCAGATTTCAATAATAAAGGTTTGTAATACTTATCCTTTTCATCTTGTAGTAAAAATGACTTTTSGAACGAWCGAAATAATTATTTATTATATATTAGTAAATATKTTTAGAATCTAAAGTAATTCTTTATTTTTTATACCTGAATACGTTTAATGGATATCARCATCTCAGCTAGTGTTAGAACTCCTTGTGGGAAAAATACTGTCATTGTTGTCAATAGTATATTGTAGTACGTTATTATAACGAAAACCTATAGAAATAGGTACGTTTTATTTATATAACTAGGTAATATCTAATCATTGATTGTATTATGGTTTTCTTGGTAATACATAATCAGGCATGTTGTTAATAGTGCAAGGAGGWATTTAGCCTTCCCCAAAAATTTTCTTGCTCCCACCCCAGCCCTACAACTGAAAAATGTAATAACTTATTGAATGTCTCGTGTTATTATTATGCTAAATTTAATTGAATCATTTATCCCGAGTAATAACTGAAAATTTTGAAATAAACTGTGGCCAATATACCAAAAGTATCTRCTCCAGTTCACACAAAAGWGAAAACAATTCCTAGCGCTACCATGTTGTTTATAATAGTTTTTTTTTTACCCGTATATTTACCTGTTTCGTGTTAATAGTATTTCCTAATAATACATATGATAAAATGCTAATAAACAATGCTAATCTAAAATGAAATATTCTGAATGATTGCATAAAAACCCTTATCCACGATGTTCCTCTGATCTGGTCGATCTCCATCCTGTAACAAAACAAATTCACATTTATGTAATTGTACAATGAATTATTAAATATATCCACATCCACACACTTTCTTGCATATTGTACAAGCAATGCAAAAGGTTTCTCCCATGTGTACATCTTAATCACTTGTATGCCTGATATTATTTCGTTCATTAGCCTCACTCTTTCGTCAGTCCTCGGGGCAGTTTTTGATCGATAGTCGGAGGTCATTTTTCCCAACCATCCTGAAAATAAAAATGTTCTGATTTGAAAGACATTATCATATTCCAGATAACAATTCTTTTAGTACCTAGGTACGTACCTTGTAATGGAACAAATGCGAGAAATAGTATTACTCCAATTATGGAAGACACTCCTATTTCTTGCCACAAAAAGTAGGTGACCAAAATAGTCTGCAGTGGTCCGATCCATAAAAATTGTATATATCTTAATGCAATATCGAATCGGTTTACGTCATTTGATATTAAATTTACTACTTGACCGACAGTAGTTTCAGACAGAGAAATTTTACTTAATGTTAATGCCTACATGTACATAAAATAAAATATCAGACATAGCTT